GGCCCCGAATTTGTGCCATAGTCGCCCCAGATTTGTAAAATCGAGTTCCAGTTTTGCATCTATCGATCCGTTGCAGCACCAAGAGATAGTCAGTAACCTAGAACAAAAGTTCTAATTGACAATTTAATAGCGTTCACCCCGTACAGACCATTAATGCCACCAAAGATCCAATAGCGGCAATTGATGAGCTAATTATATACTCTTTTGACGTACGTGCCACAACGCTATTAGCTCCACCTGAAGCCCACGATTGAGTTTCCTACCGTATCACAAAGGTCAATGTATTAGGTATGCCGGCAGCGGCTGCTGAAGGCTTTTCTCTATCGAAACTGTAACTCAATTTCACGGTTAGTTTCCCGATAAGGTGTTATCACGGCGGGCGAGGTGTTCTTTGAAGAGAAAAGGGATGTTGTACGCTCAGAGAGGGATATCTACGCATAGAGAAGATATATGAAGCCAGGAACGACAGGGGTATTACGTATATTGAAAAGTGACATTATACAGGGTGTTCCTTAATGATATGCGAATATTTAAGGGTGTGAATCTACATTAAAAATTAATGCTAGTTTGCTTTAAAAACTATAGTCCAAAAATGTTTCCTTACAAAAACTCGGGGTGTTAAAGTTTTAGGAAAAAGTGGAAATAAATTAATATTTTCAGAACCGCTTCAGACATTTCACTGATATTTAGTACGTAGTGGAAATTAATAAAGTTGCATACTTTTCAATGCAAAAATATTTTTTAGCTTTAACAGTGGCGTGCGTACGGGTAATGACTTCGATATTTTTTAAGAAAAAAATGGTACGCCAATGGTTATTTGCCAAATAAAAAATATTTTTGAATTCCCCGTTCAATTTAAAACAAATGATCTCTCTTGAATTGTGTTCATTCGAAGCGCCATTTTTGAGTAAAACAATAAAAACCGTTCTATTGTCCGAGAAAATTAATGTAATAATTGAAGAATGCAATTTAGCAATAAATATCTAGTTGCTCTGGAACATGTCACTGGCTTTTAACATCTGATAAGTCTCTGTATTCAAATCTGTTCGCTGTGACATCTTTTTCATTATTTAGTTTTTACAATCTTGTTAATAATGGTGAATTATTCAAATGCAGAAATGGCGGAAATGCATTACGTATATGGCCTTGCCGACGATAATGGTGAGCAAGCCAGACGGAGTTATCACCAGAGATATCGCGATCGTGCTCTGCCAGATAGTCGAACCTTTTCTAATATTCATCGTCGTCTCGTTGAAACTGGTTCTGTCCGAAAAATAACATCTGAAGGTAGACCTCTAAATGTGAGAACACCTGAAATTGAGGAAGCAGTGCTGCACGAAGTCGAAGATCATCCTGAAACGAGTACGAGGAAGATCGCTAGACACTTAAATATTTGCCATCAAATTGTTAGGAGAATTTTAGTGGATCTTTTGTTATATCCTTACCATATTTTAAGAGTACAGGCATTACTTTCCATTGATTTTCCAAGGCGTGTGACCTTTTGTCAGTGGTATCTTCAAAAAATTACACAAAATCCGCAATTTGAATCAATGATTCTGTTCACAGACGAAGCTAGCTTTTCTGGAAATGTCATTCAGAATTTCCACAATAATAATTTGTGGATAGAAGAAAATCCCTATGCCGTAACCGAAACCCATTTCCAACAGCAATTTGCGGTTAACGTATGAGCAGGAATTATTGGCAACCACTTTATTGGCCCAGTCGTCTCGCCGGGACGACTTGATTGACAGACTTACCCCAATTTTCTTCAACAACAGTTGCCTTTGCGGCTTGATGATGTTCCGTTAGTAATAAGAAACGATATGTGGTACATGCATGATGGTCCACCAGCGCATTTCAGTGTAGCGGTTCGTAATTATTTACAAACTGTTTATCCAAATGGTTGGATCGGTCGCGGTGGGCCCCAAGAATGGCCACCAAAGTCTCCAGACCTCAACAGTTTAGATTTCTTTATGTGAGGCAATCTTAAAACACTAGTGTACACAAGTCCCATTAACACTGTAGAGGAATTAAGAGAAAGAGTAGATGCAGCTTGTGATAATATAAAAAAGACTCCAGGGATATTTCAACGAGTGCGCAATTCCATGAGAAGGAGGGCGGAAGCATGATACTAAGTGAAAGCTATTTTCAACAATTTTTGTAATCATTTCGTTGGTTTTAATGTTATGTTTATTATGTCAGTTGTTGTTGTTAAATACCCCTAATGTGTTTAATTTTCCAATTAAATTAATAATAATTTTGCAAGTTAGACAATAGAACCATTTTTTTTACTCAAGAATGGTGCATCGAAGGAAAGCAATTCAAGAGAGATCATTTGGTTTAAATTGAACGGGAAATTCAAAAATAATTTTTATTTGGTAAAAAACCATTGGCGTACCATTTTTTTCTTAAAAAATATCGAAGTCAATACCCCGCCACTGTTAAAGCTAAAAATTATTTTTGCATTGAAAAATATGCAACTTTATTAACTTTCTATACGTACTAAATATCAGTGAAATATCTGAAGCGGTTCTGAAAATATTAATTAATTTCCATTTTTTTCCTAAAACTTCAACAGCCCGAGTTTTTCTAAGGAAACATTTTTGGACCATAGTTTATAAAGCAAAGTAACATTAATTTTTTCGTGTAGATTCACACCCTTAAATATTCGCATATCATTAAGCAACACCCTGCATAGGGGTTTTTTGTGATATGTAGGATTTTCTACAAGATGTCAACTTAGAACTAGCTGTTATTGACGTCATGTGCACTCCTTCTGTAGCTGTTCGTGTTGCCTGCTTCGGAGATGGAATTATTAACGGTTTAAGCTGCAAGTTGGATACTATAGTTGGAGGATGCATAGGTGCATAGTAAGGATTTGTGTGCCAAGAATCTGTGCTGATAATAATTCTGATAATCTGTGAATCCACTGGTTTCTTGTCTCAAATACACTTACTTAAGATGTATGCTAAGCTAGAAATTAGTCACGCATCCACTGTTTCTTATTCATCCTGGAAATCACGTATGCAACTTTGCTGGATTTCAAAAATAAAAGATAAACTACCGCACTGCAAAATCGTTTTGTGTGTGATGCGTCATTCCTAATTTTTTGTGATGTGGCTTAATTACACACAGCGCGGGCGCGGTGGTGCTTTCCCGTAATGCTTCTCAAAAGTTTTTGAAACCGGGGAAATTCGTAATTTAAATCCTTGAACGTAACCTCTCTTCAGAAAGGACAACACAAATAATCCGTCTGATAGAGCTAATAGATATACAGGTACTTCATGGGCAGCATGTTCAGTAACAATTTTCTCACATGATTTTATACATATGCAGACCAATACGCACAATTATCCAGATGCGACCTTGCTACTCCACCAATCTTCTCAGAGTTATACTCTACAGACTATCTTATGCTGAGGAACTGACATCGAGCATGGCCACTAAGCGTGTCGTTGAGTCATTCCCCCATAGATGAAGGTTTTGGTGAATGCGGCTCACAGCGCTCATAACGAGCAAGCGCGGAATATCTCCTACATATCTAGTCAGCAGGTTTACTTTTTGTCCAGAAGATTGACCAATTTTCTTCGTTTTTGACCTTTTTCTCCGCCATCACTGGACCGATTTGCAAAGCTTACAAAGGCCTTTCGGCATAGTAGCAATCTTGTCTACAAATTTCATGAAAAACCGAGCGGTACTTCCCAAATTATAGACAGGCCAAGGATTAGCGGACAGATCAGGAGCTATTATTTTTAATTTACTTGATCGAAATACTTTGTGGAATTAATTATGCAATATCCATATTTAACTTTCACTTACCCATATTGATGATAAAGCACTGAATCGACAGATGTCACTTACCTAGAACAATATGAAAAATAATCAATATCTTCGGTAGTACAATGAAGCAAGGCAGTGTACAATTTAATGATCATAACTTATACTGAGGGCGTTCCCAACTGTTGACAGAGAGCAAAACTACAAGGGGGCGAATATAACTCCATCTAGCTCCTATGTCAGAAAAATATTAGATACAAAAGTTACTTTTTTTGAGAGTATTTTATTATATTGTTGGGTAGACAGAATATCTAGTGTGGCCATAGTGAGTATCAACTTTTACAAGTTTTTTAAATAGCAACTCCTATACAGGTTGTCCTAGAAATAACACGCCAGAGTGGCACGGGAGGTAGATTCAGATAAAATCAACATGACCTTAGTAACAGTTTTCCAGTTTTCCACTTTCAAGTTTTTCAAAAAATCCCGACTTATTGCTCCGCTTTTGCCTGTTATGGGCTGTAAAGGACTTCTATCTTATGATTTTCCTGAGCAACCATTAAAGTAGAGTCTTGTCTTATTAATGCAAGTTGTTCAAGGGGGTATTTAAAACAGGGACGCATAAAATGGGTACACCAATTCTTGTGGAAAAACTTTTTATTCGACAACAGAGAATGAGAAAACCGATTTTTTGGGATTCAATAGAAAGTGTTGGCAGGACAGAAAAACTCTTCAAACAATACCTTTAGGTATTTATTAGACCTACAGAATAAGATCCACTAATAGTAAACACGTTATAACCAAAAACCAAATGCAAAATGCAGGTTTTGGCACTCGTTGCTAATGCGACGATAATTTCAAGCAGCTACTTGAAATTATTCAAATCCAAAGGCTTCTTTTAAATGACCACAATAAAATTGGAGTCCATTAGTCAAGTAGTTTTTGAGAATTTCTAATTATCTATCCAAAAACACCTGCCACCGGCCATCACTACTAGTTTATTGAGCAATATACAGTGTTCGTTCAAGGGGCATTTTATAGAAAAATACACTAGTTTACCTTGAGACATGAATCACAACCCATACCGAAATTTTTTCACGGTCACAGATGAGCCTTAAGCCCCCCATTCATTAGTGGATTGGTGTGACGGATTGGTTCGTCCTGACTTGTCCGCCGACCGATCCGCCAATATATGGTATCGAAAGACATGTCGCACAGCGGTCCGGGTCGGGTTGTGAGTTCGCTTGTTTGAATACCGAACCTACGATCCGACCGCGACCAATCCGTGCTGTTTTTACAATGTGTGTGTAAGTTGTCAAAACTTGTCCGGCGACGTAAGAGTTCTTCCGAGATCAACGAAAGTATCAAGGCATTTTTGAAGGGAATTCAAATTAAAATGTCTTTTGAAAATAATAAATCTTTTTGGGAGGAATTTATCCAACTTTACCAGGAAAATCCTTGTCTTTGGGACATCAAGTGTAAGGATTACCGCAACAAACAGAAAAAAAATGCTGCGTATGAGAATTTAATTAACAAAAGCAAAGAAATGTTTCCAGATGCCAACAAGAAATTTGTTATCAAAAAAATATCATCCTTACGGTCATCTTTCCGACGCCAGATAAGGCGAATTAATAGTTCAAAGAGAAGTGGGGTGGGAACAGAAGATGTACCAGAACCTACATTGTGGTATTTTGATCTATTGTCTTTCCTGATGGATCAAGAAGAGTCTCGTGCAGCGGTTTCTTCGATAGAAGGAAATAACCTGACCAATCACAGGCCTCAGTAAGTAGATATTTTAACTAACAAATAATCTAAAAAGACAATATTTATAATAATTCAGATATTTTATTTCAACACATATACTATACATCTTAAACTTAATATACAAATTTGTGTTGAAAGTCAACTTCACCTGCATTATTTTAATATTCTTTATATCCATTTCGTATCATCTTTGCGTCAATAGTCGGAGATCCTTGCCTGGACACATCTAATGATATTAGTTCTCCATGCATGTGCAGGTTGTATGTAAGAAGTGCTTTTGCGGCGTAAAAAGTTGTGTAAAACACAGCATGCCATAACGATATCATCAACTGTATCCACTTTAGTAGCTATTGGCGTCAGGAAAATCCTGAATCTATTTGCCATGATCCGGAATGCGTTTTCTACTACGCGCCTGGCACGGCAAAGTCGATAGTTGAAACATTTTTCTTCATAACCAATACTGTTGGTTTGTCTGTATGGCGTCATGAAATTTGTCATTAGACTAAAGGCTTCGTCCCCAATAAACACAAAGGGTAATTTATTTTGAATTCCTCGCATATTGACTGGTTGGGGTAATTTTAAAGAATCTGTTATCAGTAAATTGTAAAAATCTGTTTTCTTAATGACCCCCCCGTCTGATATTCTTCCATTAGTTCCACAACTTACATAAGTAAATTCATAATTAGCATTTACGATAGCAAACAACACAACACTGAAAAATCCTTTATAGTTATAATAGTATGAACCACTTCCTGGGGGCTGTTTGATAGCTATGTGTTTGCCGTCTACGGCTCCTAAGCAATTTTCAAATTGCCACATATTGTTAAATCCTTCTGCTACTTTGAGCCATTCCTCTTCTTTTGATGGAAACTGAAACCAAAAATAACACAGCTATCATATGAGGCAAAGTTAACTGTGAGCTATTTTATTGCAGGAAACCGATGCATACACACAACATTCTGATCAAGATTTAGATTCATCGTCAGTTTTATCGCCTGAAGCTCCTCAAAGTGCAACACCAAGTTCCCGTAACAAGCGAACTCTAAACTGCACAGAAGAAAAATACATTTTTGGATGCTTCCATAAAAGTATTGGAAACTCCGCAACAGGATGTTCTTGAACCACAAGAAATAACATTTGGCAAAAATACTGGTCAACAATTACAGGATATTGCAGTTGGACAGAAGATAATAGCCCAAAAACTGATTTCGGATGTGCTATACCATGCAAAATTGGGAAATCTCACACATTCTTCTCATATTTCCCTGGGTTACCAACCACCATCATATCAAAGTGCCCCATGCGTTCCGCAAGCACAAATATTTCAAAACTCATGCTCCAGGTATACAACATCCATTAACCCAACCTTTAATGAACCCAGCACGTCATATACACGTCAACCAGATGTACCAACTTTTACCACTTTGACAACTCCAAATCAGGCGTCTGCAAATAGGGAAGTGATGGAAGAATTTTTAGTTTTTTCCAGGCAAAATAATTAAGAAGTGATAAGGTACTACGAGTATTACAGACTGATTCACATATCTTTAATTGTTAGACATAATTTGAAATAATAAAAGTTTTTTCAACACTCTGTTTCTTATATGCATCAGAATACATGAAAAAAATAATTATTGTACTTATAAGTATTTCTTCCGGAGGCAGTTGTATATAGCACGACACGTTTCTGGAATTATTCTTCCAAGTAACTGAGGAGAAATTATACAAGAAAACTTTAAGTCTTCATAACTCCTTCCAGTTGCCAGAAACCTCAAGGTGGCCAACAGACGTTCTTCAACGCTTACTGCTTCTCTGAATAAAGCGTTCTTCTTTTCTATCAGAGGTTTTACTAACATTAATAATTCTTGGAATGCGTCATAGTCCATTCTGAGGTAATTTATAACATCAAGTGGTTCACATGATTGGATACATTTCAATAATCGCAAATGAGTACATTGTTCTCTCTTTTGCAGCCATTCTTTCACCCAAACACGTTTTTTCGTTTTTTCTGATTCTAATAATATGATTGTACCTACAGCCAAAGCAACTTTCGCCTTTTTTGATAATATCGGAGACATAATGCTATTGGGTTCGCCACATTCAGTGTACAAATGAGCTCTTTTGCAGGGTTCGTGTAATTTCCGTCTAATGTATTGACAAACGTGGATGAGTCGTCAGTCGGGTCCCGGTTGCCGTCCGAGTTCAGGTCCGTCTAGTGAATGGCCCGCATTAAGGTCTACAACAAAAAGAACACGACTACGACCACGACCAAGACGACAACCGCGGCCACGACCAAGACCGCGACCACGACTGCGACCAAGAAAGAATGAGAAAACGCATTTTTTGAGATTCAATAGAAAGTGCTGACAGGAACAAAAAATTCTTCAAATAAGATTTATGAGGTATTTATCAGACGTACAGAATAAGACCACACGTAAAAAGATCCCACTAATAGTAAAAAAGTCATGGCCGAAAACCAAAAGCAAAACGCAGGTTTTGGCACTTATTGCTAATGCGACTATAATTACACGCTACTACTTCAAATTCTTCAAATCCGAAGGTTTCTTGCTTCTAAATAACCACAACAAAATTGTAGTCGCTTGGTCAAGTAGTTCTTGAGAATTTCTGTCTATCCGAAGACACGTGTCCTCCGTCCATGATTACTAGTTTATCGAGCAATATACGAGGTTTGTTCTAAAGGCATTTTATCCCGAAATTTTTACACGGTCACAGATGAACTCAAAATCTATAAAAACACAACTACGACTACGACCACGACGACGACCACAATCACGACCGCGGCCACGACCGCGACCACGAACACAGCCGCGACCAAAACTCCGACCACGACCACATCTACGACCGCGACCACGACCACGACCACGACCACATCTACGACCGCGACCACGACCACGACCGCGACAACACCGCGACCGCACCGCGACCACGACCGCAACCACGACTACGACTACCACTAGAGCATGAAAATACTCTCTATTTCATATTGTTTTTTGTACTCTAAAATAGCGGATCGCACTTTTTAAAAAATTCAAAAGCTTATATCTTGCAAAATGTGAGCGTAAACGAATCGGTTTTGCTTAGGATGACCTAATAACCTACAACTACTTTTGCATAACTCGTCACATATTTCGATCATCTTTACGTAACGAAACAAAAATTTCTGTAAATACACTTTTCAACACGAAAATCCTCCCTATAGAAATAATATTATATTATATTACATATCCGGGGAAAAAGTTGGTGGGTTATTGACAACCTTTAAATGGTACTATTCTTGTTTGTACCCTGCTATTATTTTCTGTACATGGAAAGATAAACGACTACCCTGGCCCCCTTTACATCACGTCACGTTTGGGGATTGGGGTATGCTGATCCGATTACTATCATAAATTTAACATTGCCCAAACGTTATTTTTTGATATAGGTTTCAGCTTCCACGAAAACCGTTCACCTTTTTTGGTGCCATAAAATACTGAGACAGCTATACGGCCCTATAATCCTCGTAACTTTATTCAGAAGGGCATGTCTACGAGTGCGTTATATGCAGTAGGCATATGCAGGTTTTTCAACAACAATATATTGATTTTACACGATATGTTTGTATTAATTGTTGTCAACGAAACTATTATATTAATCCTCCAATTCCCAAGGCCTCCTAGAGGGGACAAATTCTCAACATTTTCTTTTAATTGCGTGTTGAGTTAACGTCGATCGTCTCACTGAGATGAACGGAAACACCAATTGGCGGAAAAAAATGGTGTCAGATAGATTGACTGTGTTCCCCCTCTCACAACGAAGTTCATAAAGGATTATGTTTAGCACAAGTTAGACCCTATCGAAGCGCCATAGAAAAAGCACGAAACTGTCTGAGGTTGGTTGTATTTGGTTAGACGGACAAAACCAGCATGTTTAAGTTTGATCCTCTAAGAAAAAAGTGAGCTACGGAAATGTATAACGAAAAAAATTAAAAGAATTCAGTCCGTACAATTAGTCCTTAACATCCTCACCCTGAACTACTCGTAGAACCGTCTGGTAACATCGCGTCGCCTCATTGCACTGTCTTAAATGGTAGTACGTCGCACTGGCAGAGCGCCTACAAAGCACCAATTATACAAGACACATACGAACACTGGCACGCCGGCCGCGGTCGTTCAGATCAGCAGACGAAAAGACGCCTGTCGAAAACACTTTTCTGTCATTCTGTTTTGATGGTAAATTTACGGGGCAATCTATGATGTGTGAAATATGTCTAATAGGTGCGTAGAGTTATCGGGGTTGGAAGGGTATTCATATACTAACAAAACATTGCGATTCACCCTCCCCCGCTGCCCTATAACCTCCATCCCCCAATTCTTTATCACTACATATTTTCAAAAACTGAAACGCCAAAAAGAAGTATGACCAATTTTTTTCGTTTTTGACCTTTTTCTCCACCTTCATTTTATCGATTTCAAAGCTTACAAAGATCTTTCGTCTTTAGCAAAGAAGCAATCTTGTCTACAAATTTCATCAAAGGCCGAGGTACTTCCCAAATTATAGACGGGCGAAGGATTAGCGGACAGACAGACATCTCGACGGAACTGGTTTTTCGTGATGCACATACGAGGGCGGTTCAATAAGTACCCGTGTTAGAAATGAAGACACCTTTTTTCCAAAAAATTCTTCTTATTTTTCAACATTTTAGAAAGATACACTTTACCAAACGTTCCTGTCATTCATGCAGTTTGGCGGCGACAACTCCGGATGAATGTGCTGGTGCATTATCGTGGTGAAACAGCACCTTCTTTTTCGTCAAATGTGGCCGTGTCTCCTTTTTTGTCGAAGCGGTAAAATAACTCACTATAGTATTGTCCAGTGATCGTTCTTCCTTTTTTCTAAAAAATACACGAGGATAACTCCCTCTGTCGTTAAACACAGGTACTTATATGAACCGCCCTCGTATATAACATCCAAAAAACGCCAGATCTTATTTTCGAATTTTTTCGCGATTAGAATACTTCCGCGTCAGTGGGCGTGGGAAATAACAATTAATACAGGGTGGCGTATCGAGAACGAAACAGACGCATTTACTGGCAGCTCAGTTTTTTTTTGAAAAAACGCTCAGACCCGTCTATTTTGTTTTCGAGGGGGACAAGTTTGGCAAAAAATCACGTTAACACGTGCAGCCCCCTGAGCGGGGGTGACACCAACCCTGAAGTCTTAAATGGAAAGGGGGGTCGAGTGATACCTTATTTTAAAGGTCTCTTAATTCCCTTTATAATGATGTAAAATGCATGAGCTTCAGTTCAGTAGTTTTGAAGATTTATTGATTTAAAGCTTAAAGTAGACTTTAATGGGTACATCAGATTAGTTTGTACTACTTTCAGAAGAAATTTGACTAAAAGAATTTACTTAATAAGTAAATGCATTTCTTCACTACGCCCATGGTTTGTTTATCATTTTGTTGTTGAAAATAGCTATTGGAGCGTTTTTTCGTGGCAAAAAAGTTATTTCTTGAAGAAAGATAAGGAAATATCTCGTACTTATTTTAAATGGGAATTTAGTACATAGTTTGCGATTGATTTAACCAAACTTTGTTGCTAAAATAACTTGTAACGCTTTATTACATAAATTAACCATGGTATATTCCACAGCAGAAAGAGTTGAAATTATTGAAATATTTTTCGAAAATAATCAGTGCGCTAATAGAACAGCAGAAATATTAATGAGCGACATGAGAACGATAACGTGCATTGAAAATATGTTCTAGAACTTGTAGCTAAATTTCGGGAAACTGGGTCAGTCGCCGATAAAAAACGCAACATCGAAAATCCCATAAGGAACGAAGCAATAGAAGTGGGGGTTTTAGGGCAAGTTTAGGTAGATCCTACGTTAAGTACCCGCAAATTGGAGACTGTGTGTAGTGTTAGTCGACGTACTGTCCAAAGGATTCTAAGGGCCCATAGTTTTCATCCGTATAAAATTCACCTGGTACAAGAACTTAATGAAGACGAGTTTGATCGGCGATTATAATTTTGTGAAGATATGAGTGAACGAATTATAAACGATGAACATTTTCTATTCAACACTTGCTTTTCCGAAGAATGTTCCTTTTTCTTAAATGACGTAGTAAATCGTCATAACTGCCGATATTGTCCGATTCTAATCCCAGAATTTTTCATGTGGTTCATACACAGCAACCACAAAAATTAAATTTTTGGGCTGATATTTTTGGCGATCATTTAGTTGTTCTTTTTTCTTACCTGGAAGTTTGACCGGTGAAATGTATTTGGAATTACTGGAAGACGCCATAGATCCTGCATTAACAGCCATAATTGAAAATCAGAATGATCGGCGGTACATTGCGAATAGGTTGATGTTCCAACAAGATGGTGCCCCACCACATTACGCATTCCGTGTTAGACAATATCTAGATCAGACGTTTCCAGATCGATGGATTGGTAGAAGTGGTGCCATTAAATGGCCCCAAGATCGCCATATTTTTCACCTTTGGATTTCTTTATGTGGGGTCATTTAAAAAGGAAAATCTACACTACTCAGCCAACATCATTAGAAGACCTGCGACAAAGAATTGTAAATGAGTGCCTTCAAATTACTCCTAAAATATTGCAAAATGTGCGGCAACGTTTTGAGCAAAATCTTAATTATTGCATGGAGAGTCGTGGTGGCTATTTTCAACATTTACTTGCCTAACGGGTCAGTTCATTCTTCATTTTTAAATTACTTTGCTGCCAAATGTATTGGTCTCCACTAGTGATGATGTATTAGTTTCATTCAAGCTTTAAATCAATGAATCTTC